TTGATGTGATTAAACCATCAGAACGAAAGATCTATTCCCCTGTTCACAATGCACGCTGTCCTCTAAAAGTGACTAATGTCTAACAGCCCCCCTCTCATAATAAAAAGAACATTCTTCTTCCCTCAGAGAAGAATGTGCAGACTTCACAGCAGCTTCACGTGTCAACTAGTCACGTGACAGCAATGTTTTGAGATCAGGGCTATTGTCCTGAATAATCCCTGCTTGTCATGAGATCAACTCTAAACCTATCAGAAACACGCGTCTTAACTGCAACCATACTACTCCGCAAACCATGACACGCTGTACATAAACACGCACATTTATTGTTATTTATGCTTGTTAAAAGAGTAACATAGCTCCCGCCTCCTCTCTCTCTCTTCTCCTCGTGTTCTCACATTATTTTCTCTCGTCGTCACAGATTTCTGTTGATTCTGCATGTATTGCGACACAGAGAAAATAATATTTTACGTGAAGGAAATTGGTTGACGTTTCAATGTCACTACATCTTATTCATGCTCTCAGTAAATGTAATAGATTTGTAGAGTTCTCTCCTCTCCGCTTTTTCTCACATTATTTTCTCTTTTCGTCAAAGATCAGGCCAGCTCCTTAGTCTGCCCCGATTGAGTTAGAGTCGGTAATATAATTTAGTAATGAAATTTAAAATGATCTGTTCTCCCCCGTTTTGTATACTGAGCATGTTCCCGAAGAAGTGCGCTATGTTTTATTTAGTACGTTATTTTCTGCGTATTCGTTATTTTCTGTGTATTTTATACAGTACTAGAAAGCCCAAGGTCACAGGGAGGAAGCTAATAGTATTTTTTGGTAGTCAGACAATTCTTTGAATTATAATACAGTATAAGCTTACTATTTGACGGTTTGATTTACTTTTATTTGTGATTATTTTCATAACCATTGCTTTTATTTCGATAAATTATCATTATTAACGTTATATACTGAATGCACTGCTACGTTTTAATGACAGTCGAGTATACTCGTTATTTACTGTGAGCACGTTATAACGTTGTCACCAGAAATCCCTGCCTTTCTGTTATAGTTATCACGGGTTATAAGTGGTATTTATCAAACATTTCATCGATTGCGGAGAATTTTGTTTCACTTTGCTGCGTGATAAGTTTGCTTTTTATTTCAGTATTTGAAAAAAAAAGTATATGTCGGATAAGATCATTTATAGTGGAAGAATCTTGCCCATCAACAATCTATAGTACTCTTAGACTGCACGCTCATAGTCCAGCCGACCTGAAACCTGAAACTATTATACTTAGCTATCACGTGACTTACTAAGGTTACTAAGCTATCACGTGCCTTCTTATCTTATAGTTATAACCTGTTGAGTTACTGGCCGGCATTTTACTGCCTCCACCAGTACCGCACACATATCGCCCTATGACATGTAATTGTAATAACTTCACACCTATACCAACATGTCACCGCTATAGTTCCCGTAGAGCTCCAGAAGTAGCCCTATAGTCTATACTCTTCCCATCACGGGGCTTACTATCCGGCTTTATCTTTCGGAACAGTCCGTGGTGGGATTCGAACTTACAACCTACGGCCTGATGGCTGGTACTGGTACTGGTACTGGTACTGGTACTGGTACTGGTACTGGTACTGGTACTGGTACTGGTACTGGTACTGGTACTGGTACTGGTACTGGTACTGGTACTGGTACTGGTACTGGTACTGGTACTGGTACTGGTACTGGTACTGGTACTGGTACTGGTACTGGTACTGGTACTGGTACTGGTACTGGTACTGGTACTGGTACTGGTACTGGTACTGGTACTGGTACTGGTACTGGTACTGGTACTGGTACTGGTACTGGTACTGGTACTGGTACTGGTACTGGTACTGGTACTGGTAGTTTAGTTTCTTATTTCATTACCCCATTGTTTTGATTCTAACGTAAAGTTACTCGTGATATTTTTTGTTATTTTTTGCGTATTTTAAAACAGACCAATACAGTACAAGCTTACTTATACTATTTTCATTACTTTTAGTTGTGATTACTGTTATAACGTTTGTTTTTATTTCGATAAATTACCAATATTTTCGTTAGGTAACCTTTGTTTTAACTCTTATGTCTAATGAATTATTTGATCGAACAATTCTTTTTGTTTAAATATAAATTGATCAACTAAGTTATCATCGTCTTCAGTTTTGATTGTAACGTAGTGATATCAAAATAGCTAATTAGCTAAGGGACTTGAACCAACGAATTAGATAAGCACTAGCGTTATTCGGGAGCTTAATATGCAACGTTAATTAGTTTCATCAATCAATTTGTTAATTAGAAATTATAAAGTTAATTAGTTTCAACCATTAGTTTCAACCATCGTGCTGCTGAATGATAATTTTTTTAAATCCCTGAAAAAAATTCTGTTTTTTATAAAATGCAGTTTTATCTTTTATCATTATGGTTTTTTCGGATCGTCTTGTTAAAGTTGATGCAGTGGTGTCAGTAAAATGGTACGGATATACCTATATATATATCGTCTCGCTTTATATATAGTAAGATTGAAGTAATAATCTAAGTATTGAAAAGTGAATACTTCACGAGGCAAGTATCTTATTGAACAAGTTCATAAGTCATAATTCTTTTAAAATCATTTAAGAATTTCAAAGCTGCTTCCCGCAAAATGTCAATTTTAAAAGTTGTACAGTCTGAAGTTAAACACGGACCACATTGGTACCTGACATTGCAGCTTTCAGCAAGTGTTAGCTAATGCGGATAAAACTTGCCTTGTTTACAGCTATATTACATGTAAAGTTCCCCTATATTATATGTAATACCATGGGAGAACTTAGTCTGGTCAGGAGAGACGTGTCTTTATAAGGGTCGTGCTATGTCCTTATAAGGGCATTATGAGTCTGGTCAAGGAGACGTGCCCAGACACACTGTGGCAGTGTATTACCAAGCTATCATCAAGTATATTAGCTGTAGGTGAGAGTGGGTTGACATGGTTACCGGGCTGGTTACCGGGTTGACATGGTTACCGGGCTGGTTACCGGGTTGACATGGTTACCGGGCTGGTTACCGGGTTGACATGGTTACCGGGCTGGTTACCGGGTTGACATGGTTCAGTGTCAGTGGGCGGAGTTAATGGAAAGTTATGTTAGTGCGTAAATGTGGGTGATGTTTGTAAAGATTTTTATTTATTTTTACTTAATATGTTTGTTTATAGGCAGATAAAGGATGTAAAATTGATTTAATCGGGTAAATTATTTAAATCCATATTGTGAACCAGCTCATGAAATCATGCTTAGAATTACAGACAATCTCCTGACGTTACAAACAACATTATAATTTATTCTCCCCGTTTACGAAAACTAGCTTCCCCAGTATTTTCCCGTTCTCGTATACCAATATTATTAGGACAGAATATATGATTGCCATAATCTCATTCTACAATAGCAAAGCAAACTATAATAAATCATATTTATATAATCAGCTCTATGTTCACACCTGGACTAAGCTTAATCTCTGATAAAAGTACGATCGAATATAATATAAAATATAAAATGCAGACGAATGGTAATCTCATCATCCTCCCTCAATTCTCCCAACCTCAATTTACCCTAATCCCATAAACTATATATTACAGTGACTGGAGAGCGTTGCTTCCAGAAACAGTGCTGTAATACGATTACTGGCAAGTTCGTTAGCGCCGCGCTCTTCGCTCTTTAGGTTAGCACTCCTCATCACTCCAAGTTTGTGCAGCAAAATAGGTCAACTTGGTACCGGTATTTACAGTTATTTGGCAGTGATTTCAAAAAAGAAAGATGGCATAATACTGAAAATAACAGGGGCTACATCACGTCTTCAACCCAGGGGGGGCAAGGGGGCGAAGCCCCCGGTGGGGGGGTAGGGTGGCGAAGCCCCCCTTCAATAGCAGGGGTCTGGGGGCGCAGCCCCCAGTGGGGTCAAGGGGCGGAGCCCCTTGTGGGGGGGGTAGGGGGGCGAAGCCCCCCGCAATAGCAGGGGTCTGGGGGCGCAGCCCCCAGTGGGGTCAAGGGGCGGAGCCCCTTGTCGGGGGGATAGGGGGCGAAGCCCCCCGGAAAATTTTTAAGGAAATTAGACAATTTTGACGCATTTTCCAGTACTTGAGGGACACGAATTTACGTTAGCAGCAACTAAAAGAAAAAGTAAATTAATGTAAGTACTCCGAATTTAAGCTTGACAGTACATACTTCACAATCTCTTTTAACTACACATTAGTACTACACTTTACTATACATACACACAATGATGATAATATAGACAAACTTCAAACAACTACTGACCTTGAAATCTGAATAATACTCGAGCTTCGTGCGGTTCTGATATCAAAACTTTCCAAAGTGTGATTCTCTGCTGGGGTAAAAGCGATAAACTGGTTGCCAATGTTCTCTATGTCAAGGGAGTCCGTGATATTACGGTGGTAATTCAACACAGCCAGATTGTTAAACCTTTTATCGTTCATCGTTGATCTCAACCACGTTTTCGTCCGTCTCATGAGGGAAAAGGTTCGTTCTGCTTCTGCGCTTGTAGCTGGCAGTAGAAGCATCACCTTAAGCAAAGTCAAAATTCCAGGGAATAGGCTAGCATCTTCCAAGTGTTTTTGGCATGCTTCATGAATGTCTCTAAGACATCTTAAATCTTCCCTTCCATCGAGGTCCGGAAGGCGTCATACTCAGCAACTTCCAGGGACACCTCTGGATATTGTAAGGCCTCATGTGGGGTCGGGGGGTATACACCTGGGTGAGCATTGGCTAGGCTCAAGAGAAAACTTTCAAGGATAGAGTATGTTTTATAGGCCTTTTCTTGAAACCTAGCCTCTAGACCAGTAACCATCGAATCGATGGCCGGATAGAACTGCTCAGTCCTGTAAAACTCCTCCGGTGTCTGCGGATGTTCTTCCCTCGAAAGTGATGTGTGACCATCCACAACAACCAATGTACTGTAGTTAGGTCGTCGCCTTTTTCTAGGGAGCTGTGGTTCTTCAACTGAAGGGGTCTTCGCTGCTTGTGTCATGCAACTGTTCCACAAAGGAGCAAACGATGTCTCGTTCCTTATGGACTTGAGCGTTGTTAGAAGGTTATCAACACGAGCTTTTCCCTCAAGTGCTGAAAGCCGTCGTCCTTGCAGAGACTTTGATACGTTGTCTGACATTCGGTATAACCTTTCACAGAGAAACAGTCCAAAAAAGTATCTAAATGTCTTCATTTGACTCTGAACACCAATTATCCGAGCCTTAACCTCACTGTTTAAACCACCTTCAAAGAGGGATGCTTTCCAAAGCTCTTGGAGGGCTGGATAATTTTCTAGTATCCTTCGGAAGCACTGGGATCTCACTGTCCATCGGGTAGATGACAAACCGAGGATCTTCTGTTGAACAGGAATATCTTCTTCGTCATCTGCTGCCACAATAATATCACTTTGTATTACAGATAACATATTTTCACGCTTAGGAGAGTACCTTACCAACTTAACAATTTCTTCTGTCGTGTCAGTTGTCAAAGACAAGGGTTTACAGTTCTTATTAACAGCTTTAACCTCGAGGTTTAAAGCGTGTCCCAGACAGTGATTAGCAAGAGCTAAGGGATTCTCCTTCAAAATCCTCGTTGACACTCCAGATTTTGGTCCAAGCATGTTAGAGGCCCCGTCGTAGGTTTGACCCCGACAATCACTGAGCTTTAGAGCAAACCTCTTTAAGGCGTCTTTGATCACGGCGACGATTGAATCCGATTTGATATTTGCTACGTGATAGAAACCCATAAAATCCTCTGAAACTTTAAGGTTCTCATCAATGGTACGCAGGCATATTGTCACAAATGTGTTATTTGCAACATCTGTCCCTTCATCGCAAATAAGGGAAAAGAAGCGACACTTTTGAATTTTACTCCGCAGTAAAGTTCTGACAACTTCTTGCCCCATAATATCGAGAATCTCGTTCTGTATTGTAGGGTGTCGGTAGCTAAAGAACACTTTATTGCCTCCTTGCTTACGGTCGTCCGCTTCTCGGTTTAGTCTCTCCTTTAAAATGCTGTCGTCTTCAGCTCGGAGTTTTAGCAATTGACTAAAGTTATCTTCACCGTTCTTGCCGGATAGTGGAATGCCCTGCCTCGCAAGGTATCTGACTGTTGTAATAATCCTCCGCAAGTAGTGTCGTTCAATGCTTCTTGTCTCCGTTAGACTTTTAACTAGTTGCTCAGCTACGTCAGGGAGTTTTGATTGCGATATCACAAACCTGTGGGTAACCGAATTTTGATGATCACGAAAGCACTTGGGTGCCTTCTTCCAGTTTCGAAATCCACGGGATGTGTATGCCTCCTCCACCTTTCCCCAGTTTACAGACAAACATCCAGTTCTCTTAGCATTTGCACAGATAGTGCAGAAAACGCTATCAGTCTTCACATCATAATGAAGCCAGGGGAATTCTTTAAAGTACTGATGCTGGCACGACCGATTACCGCTGTTAGAAGTCGATTTGGGGAAAATAAACGAGTCTTTTGGGGTATGTTGTTTAATCGTAGACACTGCCAACTCCGTCCTCAAAGTTGGTTGTTGATCTTCGGGAACATCAATTACGGGATCAGTTGTGCACATTGACGATGTAGAGCTACATGAAGGCTGCTCGTTGTCGTCTTCTATAGTCACGTTTCGGTCTAATACGCTGAGCAAATTAAGCATGTTTCAGTTTAGGTATAGTTTACTATCGAACAAGTTCAACAACAATTTGTCAAAAACACACTACATGACAACGTAAAAAGTTAAGTCTCAACTACATCAATAGAATTTCCCAAAAAAATAAAATAACGATTGTGTACCTTAACTCTCTAGATGAATGCAAAACGTTGAGTTTAGGAGTGTTTTCATGTACATTTGTTACTTTTTCTACTTGTCCAAGGTCTAAACTTGACTCATCCACTACGTCCACATCAGCACTGTTAAGAAATAGGAGCCGTGAGAAAAAAATTAAAGGTGATAGGTCACTATTAGAGTTAGACTTAGATACAAGCAATAGATCCCAAAGGGAAACAAACGCGTCAAAAAGCTGCATCAGATTAATCACCTCGAATTTGGGTTTATAGGATTTTCTGAGTCGGAGTTATCCTCTTCTTGTCCAAGAACTGTTGACACATCTTCTTTCTTCTAAAAATATCTAATTTGCGACCAAGAAACTAAAAACCAAAAATCAGGGTAAAAGTTTAGAAGTTTTCCGACTATTTGTTAAAGAGCGATGAATTGACAATTTTCAATCGTGGGTCAGATGTTCCTATAGCTTCAATTTATTCAAATCACTTAGATATTGATAAAGCATACAATTGAAAAGTGGCGTTTGGTATTTATCTTAAACGGGATGAATTAGAATCTATCAAGAAGCGGCTATCAAAAATAAAAACAATTTATTGACTCACCTTAAAAAATTTGTACAAAGACATAGTTTGGTCCCAACAAGTACGGAACCCTGATATCAATGAAACGAAGGTTAAAAATATGTCGAGGACGCAAGAACAGGACGGCACGGGAGCGGGAGCGGGAAATTTGAATTGTGACCTTTGTTTTCTTTTCCATCTTCTGCAGTTCACAGTAATTTGGTCACAGAAATTCGGTTACATGACATTCCGTTTTCACACTTAAATATGCCCGGCCAGTCAGTGTCAGGGTGACCCTGACACTGATTGGAATCTTTTGTTTGTGTAACGGTAAAATAGGCAGCGCGAGATCAACTTAACACGCAACCATGCTGTGCTCCCACTCTCCCCCCTCCCTCCCTCCCTTTCTCTTCAACCCCCTGGACGGAATTCATCCATCGTTCGTGGTAACTGGTATGGTATTTAAAAATAACACAATGTAGGGGGGGGGGGCTACAGTGCAGTGGGGCTACAGAGCAGTGGGTGCGAAAACAAATCTGTATACCATAGCCGTCTGGTTTAATGTTATGTTGAAGAATAAATTTTCATGTTTTTGTAAACTTGTCCCCCAAATCCCAGGGGGGGCAGCTGCCCCCCCTGCCCCCCCGGTGATGTAGCCCATGAATAATTATAAACTATTATAATATGTAATCCAGGGATAACTTAGTCTGAAACGTTGTCATGTAATGTCTAGTATACAGCTAATCTGATTTCTGGCAAGTTCGTTAGCGATCCCGATCTCTCCAAAAGTCTAAGTTTGTGCAGCTCTTGTAAAGAAATTAGATAAACTTGGTGCCGGCGTATATCTTGGAGTGGCGCTGCTCATCGTGATTAATTGTAACCTAGTTTATAATCTTAAAATCTATTATATGAGACAAGAGAACTGCCATTTTAGGAAGCGAACACGATTAATTTCATCAGTGCTTCTCCATCTCCAAGTTTGTGCAGGAGTGCTGTAAGGAGAATAGTTAACCTTGGTACCGGGGTATATCCTGGTGTGTTGTTACAAGGAAATGTGGGTGTTTGGAATTTGTGTGTAGCCCGCTCCAAGTCTCTGTGAGGGATATAAACGTGTCCCTTGTAATGAGGAATCGAGAAAATAGTTGGCAAATTCTCGGCAAATTCTCGGCAAATGTCTTTATTTCTTGGAATCTGCACTAGCACAGCTCTGCATCGCGATGTAATTGTGGTGGAATTGGTGTTTCATCTTGAATATAATATATAAGACACAACCTTTGATCTTTGATCTTAGGCCAAGGAGCGAGGACGATTAGGATCTTAAGATCTGGGTAATGAATTCCTCTGAAAATGGTTTGGTAATCGAGTGTTCCCTTTAAATCAGTATCCAATAGCTATTACACGTAATTTACCACACATTTTTGTGTGACCTGACAAATTGTGACCCCATTAAATGTGACCTGGTTACATGAAGGTAGCTGATGAGTAAAATCACTGATCCTGGGATCTCCTTTGATATGAGGTCACTTATACAAGTGAAGGTGAGAGTTACTCTCACGTTACTCTCAAGTAACTACTAGTAGTAATGTAGTATAGTATTAGCAACAACTGGTTAGTGGTTACTACAAGTAATCAACACGTTTTATTATGTAGCAAGCAGAACGTTCTAGAACCTGCAGTAAAACATGTCCGAGGGTAAATTTAAGTGAAATTCTAGAAGATGTGCTACTTAATAATAAAACTTATACAAACTTATTATTATCAAACAAACTTAGTCACTTTCAGTAACTGCCGGTAATCAACACGTATTAGCCCGCCTGTAGTTATAGAAATGAACTGATACGAAATTCCAACAGAACATAATTCCTTCATAAGTTATGTAACATAACATAATATGCAGTGTTTCAAATATCATGATTGACGTTCCTGCTTGGCCGCGAGTTAGTTGAGAACAGCATTTTTGTCTTGAAAGCAGTTTTACGATACGTATAATTCCAGCAGTGGCGTAACGTTACACAGTATTCCAGTGTATTATATTCCGCCTAAAATATAGGGTTTAGACAACTCCCGATCATTCATAGAAAAATATGAAAAATACTGCCACTTGCTGCTTACAGTATTATTGTAAGAGCCCAGCCGTCGTTAAACTGGCTGTGAACTACAAAAGGTGGCCTGGAATAATATGTCAAACAACCTAGGGCGGAGAGTTTATTTAAGGCTCCATAGAAGCTTTCCTATAGCTCCCAAACATGATCAAACCTGGATAGCCCGGGCAAGCGGGTCAATACTTACCTGCATCATGTCCTCCTTCAGGTCCCACCAGGGTCTCGGGTTCGTAACGTTCCACTAATTTAGTGGCACTCGAAAGCCTCCGAGAGACACGGCATCATTCCGTATTAGTAGTGTTGTTATTTTAACGTAATTTCAATGACAATTTGCAGCACAGGATTGCTCCTGGCTGGTGACCCTTGTTGTCACTGATTTATATAATAACACCAGTAAGGTACGCCTATTTAGGGGGCCAGAATATAGCTTCTGACATCAAGGTAATTATACCAAGCAATGGATATATATAATCGTAATATAGTCATAATAATTTAACTTAAGTTCTAATCCTAAAGCCTTCTAGGAGTACTCACTCCGGTGGTCGTTAGATCTCTGGTGAAGCTTGGAGGCGTAGAATCCGACAAGGTTCGACGTGGTGGCTACTCCGGGAAGTACTGCGACAGTGGCGTATCATCATCAGCCGCTCGAGAGTGAGGTCCAGAGAGATCGGCAGAGTTCATCAAGGTGGTCAAGTCCTTCCGGATACTTCCATCTTAAGTCACGAGCGGAAAAGCGTAACGTATTCTGGATCGGTCCAAGAGAAGTGATGCGACGTGACACGTGGTTCACAGGTCGCTAGCGGTGGCTTGAGAGCGACAGTCTCGGCGGCACTTCTGTGTAACCTACCGAGGCTTGCCGCGCTTGGTTCGTTATCAGACCAATTACCATTGTGGTATCTTAACACCCAATTGGCGGTGGATCTTGGCGAGTTCAGTGCCCGTCCTAATTATCGACACTTCAGCTCCTGGCTGGGTTGGCCGTCAGGTCGGGTTTCTGTAACCATGGCAACCGATGTTACCATGACAACCGATGTACGCTGGTCCAGGCAAGAACTATCTGGGTAAGGTCCGGTCTTGGATAACGTCAGATCCGGGGGTTCTTACAATTATGCTTCAACTTTCCTGACTTGAACTTGTGCGTTCGTAATTCTTTCATGTTAAATTCGCCAGCTGGCATCGTAGAATAAGTTTGAGGCGTTATCTTAAATTGTTACCTTGAAATGTGTGCTTGTGGTTCTAAACACTTTAATTTTAATTTGCATCCAAACTAATAAATCAGTAAGCAACAGCTACTATAAAAGTATAAAGTGTAATGCTAGTATGAAAATATTAGCAGGAAGTATAATGAAAATCTAAGACTGATATACCTCTAAAGGGTCGATCATAACTTGAGACTAATCTCTATAATCGATTTTTCGATTTTTCAACCCTTTGAGACTATAAGAAGCTTTCTTCCTGGAATGTGATAAGGAATGCAGACTTGATAGGTAGTTGCGGTGTAAAGATATGCTGGGACATAGTTCCGTTACATTATAGATTTATAGTAACCAGCTCCTATAACAAAACGTTAACTCATCTTTTGAAATTGCTGGAATTTCTCCAATACAAACCTTGAATCAGGAATTTGGTAATGGAGCTAGGCACAGTTGGGGTATAATTGGGTCACAATATTAAAATTCCTGGAGCACAGATGGGACATCATGTTCCGTTACATTTTAATAACTAGCTTCAATAAAAACATCACCATGAGGAACGTTAAATCATCCTCAGAAATTGCTGCAATTCCTCCAATAAAACGTTAAATCATCCTGAGAATTTGCTGGAATGACTGAAGATCTGCTGTGCAGATTCTGCACTATATGTAGTTGGAGATGATTATCTTCCCCTATCTTTCACAACTCTGTAAGAGAACACTTTTAATATAGTCAGTAATTCAGTCACCAACAGTCTCATAGTGATCTTGTTAACTTAAACCATAATTTGAGGGTTACTAATGAAATCGGCCGTTATTTAATTATTGAAAATGGGCCTCGACGGAATCTGAATTGATAAGCTCTGACTTATAAAGTTATAAATTTGTTATTCAGGCTGGTTCCTCATTCATGTGTGGTTTCAGAAGATTTAAAACATTTAATTGCTCCGTTTGATTTCATATATCCTCTACCATTGAACGTAAGAGATATAAGAGGTGCGAAATATTTTCTTGTGTTTC